TTTTTTTTTAATCCCAAAGCATTCCCTCTTACACATATACACACACCATTTTGTGGCCTTAGAAAAATGAAAAGTAGCTCCTTTTCAGTTAAAGGGAAAGTTGAAAACTCCTGCCTTAGGTTCACTTTTTTGTCTTAACTTACCTGAACACAGGGTGCTGACGTTTTAGTTTCATGTAAGGATCATCTCTCATGGCAAAGGAGACCTCCTCATAGTCCTTAAGCCTAAGATGATTCTGAGTGTTCATGGAAAAAATACAGAGAGGTTTTCAGGTAGACAAAGAAACCATCATCTGAGGCTTATCTCAAACATTTGAAGACTTTTTTTAATATGTCAATTTACCGAAGTAATGTTTGGTCAAAGAAGGAACCGATTTCCTGCTTTGTCCCATAAGGGTTTGGCCGAGGCTATGTGATTCTTAGTTAATCAGAGATCTTTCCTGGTATATCCAGAACATTAATAGTTATAACCATAACACTGTCATATTTAAGTATGTGTATGTCTTTGTAGTTTGTGTTGGGCTAGAAAATAAGTTTATATCATGATGACTTTTTTATTTGTTTTTAAAGTTTATTTATTTTTGAGAGAGAGTGAGAGAGCACATACAAGCAGGGGAAGGGCAGAGAGAGGAGAGAGACAATCCCAAGCAGGCTCTGCACTGTCAGTGCAGAGCCCAATAAGGGGCTCAATCCCATGGAACTGTGAAATCGTGACCTGAGCCAAAGTCATACACTCAACCAACTGAGCCACTTAGGTGCCCCCATGATGACTTTTTGAATTGCTGTCTATTTTCACCATTCTTTCCAGCTCTCAGCAATTTTTCTGTATAAAATCTCAGACTTTGGGGGCACCTGGGTGGCTCAGGTGGTCGAGTGTACGACTTTAGCCCAGGTCATTGTCTCCCGGTTCGTGAGTTCGAGCCCCACATCAGGCTAACTGCTACTGTCTTCCTGTCAGTGCAGAGCCCACTTTGGATTCTCTGTCCCCTTCTCTCTGCCACTGTCCCATTCACACTCTCCAAAAAGTAAATAAATATTTTTTTTTTAATCTCAAAATTTTGAATTCGGCAAATATATTAGGATAATATAAAATAAAAGTAAATTCAGTAATCAAGTAATCACAAGAGCAAATATTTATAGTTTCACTCTCTTCAAGAAAGAATTTAAGCAAACCTATTCTAAAATTTCATGCACACATATACAAGGCAATAACATGCAGAAATAATTTAGAGTAAAAGGGAAGATAATTTTACTAGGAACCATACATGAGACCATCAATAAGCTTGAACTAAAAATTTAATCCTGAGTTTCCTGACAGTCAAAGCAAAGAGTGAAGCATGATGTGAATATTTAGAATGATGTTCACTATTAGTAAACTTGAAAACAAGAGTTGCTGTCACTTTCATTATAGTTGAAAGAACTACTCAAGATTAATGGTCTGGCATTGAAATATTTTTTGTGAAGTCTTAAACTAGCCTTTTTCTATAATTTCTCTTAATACTTATATTTTATGTTTCCAGGCATGCTTAATATGTAAGCTTTTTTCCCCCTCAATTTGAATGTGAGCATCGAATTTAAGTTTACATTACTATCTGATATAGGGAAAGTTAAAGAATTCTATGAAAAAGTGATGTCACCTGAGTCAAATTTTAAAGAAGCTGTACAAATGACTTGAACCTGGAAAATAATTGAAAATGTGTTTGCATGTAAATATAATTGGTTCAAAACACAAAGGACTCAATTTTTCACTTCTTCAGTATGGTGGAGAATTATCAAGGGCTGATTTCATGAAGATTCAATACATTCTTTCAATAGTTGGGCATCTGGGATTATTTTTGTGCTGCTTAATCATCTTTTTTTCTTGGGATCAAATGGATTTTTTCTGTGACAGATTAATATTTATATTCAAACAGAGAGGGGTGTAGGCAGTACCTGGATATTCCTGGAGGAAAAGCTTTAGTCATTTAGACCTGTAATTATTGAATAATAGGCAGAGATTGGTAAGCTTTATCATTGAATACTGCTTGCATATAAATAATTGGAACCCTATGTTTGGAAAGGTATTCCAAAGGTATTTATTGTTTATTAAAACTCAGTGCTAAGCACTATACCAAATATTTTACATGAATTATCTGATTTACCTCAAACAATCTTATAAGGAAGGTACTTTTTCTTTTTATCTCCATTTTTTCAAATAAACTTGGAAATGGTGGGATTAAGTAACTCACATAGCCAGAAAGTAACAGAGCCAGGATATAAACATTACTTAAGTTTAGAGCTTGCATTTTGGAGAAACAACATAACTATGATTTTTCCAAATGAGAAAATAACTATTTATCTAAAAGTAAAGCAAATCCCCCTAATAAAAGGATTGTGCTTCCTTAAGACAATACATTTTAGAGGTACTTATCTTGAGTTCATCTTATTCTCTAGCTTCTGTTTTTTGTTTTGTTTTTAAACAGAGGAGATAAAAACAGATATTTTCTGCTTTTACTCAAATTTACCTTTCTCTTCCCTGGATGGGCCTCCCTGTCCACTTCCAGGCCTTTCATTCAGTTCCAGCTTAGCCCCCTCTTCCACCCACACTCTCCTCCTTTGGCACCCTTCATTGAGCTCTTTATATTATGAAACTCTATCATTCAGTAATTCTTTATTCTCTTATTGTTTCATATGTTAAATTTTACCTTTCAAATTCATTACACAAGTTACTGACAAAGTTATTTACACTATGAAAGCTAGGACTGTATGTTGTCTTTGTTATTCCTCACAAAGGTGATTTCTTAAAAGATGTTTCATAAATATTAAGCAATTACTTGACTGTTTTTTTAAGTTTATTTATTTTGAGAAAGAGAGAGAGAGAGTGAGAGAGAGAGCATGCACAAGCGAGGGAAAGGCAGAGAGAGAGGGAGAAGAGCTAAGCTCAAGCAGCTTCACACTATCAGCACAGAGCCTGATGTGGGGCTCAAACCCACGAACCATGAAATAATGACCTGAGGCAAGATCAAGAGTCAGATGCCCAGCCGACTGAGCCACCCAGGCACCCTAATTACTTGATTGTTTTAACACCAGGAATACTTGATTGTTTTAACACCAAGAATACTAAGATGCCATGATATCTAGTTACATTTACACTGTATGTTATTATTAGAATTTTATTGAAAAAGATTGTATAGAGTTAGCTGCAATTTAGGTGTAGAATATATAATAAAGAGATATGTAATAAAAGCTACCACAACGTACAAAATCTAGCACGCAAAGGTTGGGAAATTTAAAAGGCAAAAATTAAATTTGCCAACTATTTAAGAGAAAGAGAAAGAGAGAGAGAGAGAGAGCAGGGGAGGAGCAGAAGGAGAGGGAGAGAGAGAATCTTAAGTAGGCTCCATACCTAATGCAAAGCCCAACGTGGGGCTTGAACTCAGGACTGTGAGATCATGACCTGAGTTGAAATCGAAAGTCAGATGTTTAACCAACTAAGCCCACATGGCGTCCCCCCCAACTATTTTATTTTGTTGTTTCAATAATGATATTATTAAGCTATCCTTTTTCAGAGCTCTTTTGCATTTTTGGTATTTACAATAAAACTTTGCCATTATTCTGAAATAAAATCTCATCATTTATTACTGTTTCTTTCTTCTACCTCCAGGCTCTTTTATTTCCCTTCCCTTGATTTTGATAACCTGGCCTTGTGTTATTCAGAAACATTCCTTTTAGCATGTGGAGTATCCAAATTAGAGGTTTCACCCAGCAAACAAAGTAGCATGCTTTAAAAATGATAATGACATAATAGATTCCTTGGAACACTCTATTAAAAAGCCAGACAGCATTTCATCTTCAGAACATACACTTCATCTTCAGAAGTGTAAGAGGCATATTGTGACCACTGAATCTGAGACACCAGTTCATCCTTTTTATTGACATGATTAAGAATCTTGCTGTTAGTATTTGGATGTGTTTCATTTGAACCTGCCTGCACCTGTTCCCAGAGGGCAAACAATTGCCCAGGCTGTCACTCTAGTGACAAGTCGGTCCCATTTAAACTGCCAGCTAACAATTGCGTGGGCCTGCCTTGATGAATGCTCTCTGCTGAGCAGCCCATGAGTGATGAGCGCTAGGGACTGAGAGCCACTAGGAGAGCACCCTGGTTTAGGAATGACGGGTGAGACTTTCCATCGTTTACAAAGAATGACACCTTCCTTTTCTCTGCATTTGTGTTGGCAACCCTAGGCGCTAATTCACTAGTTGAAAATATATTGTCATAGATGAATGTTATAAGGTTGAGGGGAAAAGTGTCATGTCACTGACAATACACTTTTGTGCTTTTATGGACAGTTTGGTTGATAATGCTTATGAGTAAGAGGTAAAGAATAAATAGCTCCTTAAGAGTAGAGTAAGAGAGAAAGAAAGAGAAAAACTCTTCCCAGAATTGCAAAAGATAGAATATAATACTTAAAACAAATGCTTTTTCTAGTAAGAAATAT